GTGTCTTAAATTTCATCAAAGGCTTTTCTGCATCTATCCAGATTTTCATATTTTTTTTCAGTCTGCTGAAATGTGTGATTACACTGATTTTTTTTAATGTTGAACCAACCTTACAAGTCTTAGATAATCCCTCCAGTGTACAATGTATCATATATGTACAATGTATCAAAATGATAACAATAAACTATATTTATTGTTTAAACATAAATGCTTGGTAGAATTTACCAGTGGAATCATGTGTCCCTGGAGTTTTCTCTATGGAAAGATTTTCTTATTGCTTTTACCATGTATTTAATTTCTTTAATAAATACAGACCTATTATGTTTATTTATTTTTCCCTTAAGCCACTGTGGTAGTTGTACCATTTTATCTAAATTATTCAATTTGTCGATATAAAGTTGTTCATAATATTCCCTTCCTATTGCGGCAGTGTCTGTAGCATCTGTAGTGTTGTTCCCTCCTTCCTTTCTGTTATTAGTAATTTGAATTTCCTCTCTCTTTCCTTGACCCATCTAAGTAGTAGCTTATCAATTTTAGTGCCTTTTAAAAACTACCTTTTCTGTTTCAAACTTGTTTTCTATTCTTTTCCTGATTCTAATTTTATTGCTTTCTAATGCTCTTGAAATAACCTAAAGGACAATAAAATTTAGAAAAACATAGACAGCAAGACTTGGGAGTCAAAGAAACGATTCATTTTATTCAGACTCTGAATTAGAAGAAACTTCTAGGAGCATCTTTTTCATATTACTTATATTTTCCTTCTAACAAATGTACAAGTATTACAAGGATATGAATCTGCGTCTGCAAAATATCCAAAATAGCTTTTTCAATATATGTAAATTGAATCTAAGTGATGTGAAAGCATTGTGTCATATTTTAATTGACAGTGATTTTTTAGTGGTTATTTAAAAAGGAAGTGCTTTATATACAGGAGATGATATTTAAGTAGATGAAATATGGGCTGTGTCTTTAGAAGTCTAATACAATGTGCATAAGGTAAAAGCCTACAAAGCAATTCAGACAAAGTGGTCTTTTAGCTCAGGGTAAAAGTGAATACTTGTAGCTGGATATTTGACTCTGAGGTGTCACAGTGGACCAGGAGAATGAAGCCGTATGTAGGTTGGTGTGGTTGTGCAAAGGAAGCATAATGGGGAGTAGAAGAAATATATTTGGAAAGGTATGCTGGGGCAGCTCAAATAAAACATTGAATATTGTTAAATTTTTTTTCATTGTATTCTGCAGGTAGTGGGTAAGACAATGAAACTTAACAGGAAGTAACATGTTTTAGGCACATTAATGGATCAGCAAATACAAATAAAACTGAAGAAGAGAGAGACTAGAAAAAAGGAGAGAAATTACTAGGGAGGCTTCCAAAGGAGAATCCACAGCATTGGTAACTGTACCAATGTTACAGAGATGATGATGAGAAGATGAGATGATATTAGAAGAGAGATGATATTAGACTGACTCCCTGGTTCCTACTTTGAGAGAATGCATGGATTATAGTTGTGACATTCAGGGAGTTGTGAGCTGGACCCAACTATGGTAATAGAGGTGAGAATGGAGAGACATAAAAAGAACAGAGTCAGAGATAGTTTGCTTAGGACTTGGCAACTTAGCAAGAAGACACAGGTCCATCAGTTGTTAAAAATATAGGGCTGTACCAAAGAGAAGATCCAGAGGTACAGATACAGATTTGTGGCTTATATACCTAGAAGTGTTATTTAAAGCAATGAGATCACCAACAAAGAGGGGATATAATAAAAATGAAAATATCAGTATGATATTCACATGCCTTAAGCCCTTCCAGGTACAAGACAGCATGTTAAGTGCTTTCCAGATATCAACGCAATTTCTTCTCAATCCTATGAAAGAGGCACCATGATGATTCCCATTTTAAAGACAGAGAAACTGAGACACAGAGAACATAAGTTATTTGCACAAGATCACAAGCTGGAAAGTTGCTCAGCCTAACAGAAGCCCAGACAATCTGACTCCAGAACCTGCAACACTAGCTTCTCTCTCCAAGAGCAAAAAGTTCCTTATGGAATGATATATTTGGGGGTAAGTGAACTCAGAGAAAGAGACAGAAAAGGAGCAATCGGGGGGGGTTCATCATCTTACACAAATGTGCTTCTGGCATGAGGATTATAAATATACACTATGCCAGATGGTCCTTAAGGAGAGTATGGAATGAATGCCACATATTCATCTTATGGATTCTATTTAAACCATTCTAAACCATGAACTCAAGAGTGCTCTCCATTTTTAAAATTTTTGGATGAGTGGAAACACTGGAAAAAAAATAAATAGACCTATTTTCAAAGCTGTGGTTTCATAGATGGTAGTTGCAAATGGTTCGGAAGTGAAACATAGAACTCTGGAACGCTGCTTCTCAAAATGTGATACCTGAGCTGGCAGCATCAGCACCCGCCTCTGAAAACTTGGTAGGAATACACATTTTCAGCCCCCACCCCAGACCTACTGCATCAGAAACTCTGAGGGTGAGGTCCCACCATCTGTTGTAACAAACTTTCCAGGTAATTTTGATGTATTTTCGAGTTTGAAAACCACTACTCTAGAAAATGAGATAATATGTGTATGTGTCGTTAAATCTCTGGGGACCCTGTCCCAGGTCAGAACATATCTGTGTGGCCCCTTTATTCCAGCTTGCTAGATTCTTCAAGAAATCCAGAGTACAGTGGAGCCTGGGTTAGGTGAAGAGTCCTTTCCAAGTGGTGTAATATGGTAAAGAAGAGAAAAAGATCTTCCATTCCTACTGCTGTCATCCAGAGATATTATCAGGCCACCCTGGGGATCACCCAGGCCTCGCCCCAACCCACTGCAGCAGAATTCTCTCCATGGGAGGAGATTATGATAATTGACAATTTTCCTGTTTTCTCTGTCTTCCCTTCAAAGAGTGATATGTCTTTACTAAACAAACGTTTCACCAGGAGACAGAGCTGTTGCTAAAGAAGTAAATAAGTAACCGAAAAAAAAAAAAAAACCAATAACTTGAGGCTTTGCACCTGAGGCTCTGCCAAGCCCTCGACTAGTTCAGCGTTAAACTCTTAGACACTCTGTCTAACCCCGTTCTCTGTGTTTCAATGACATCTGAACTTATTCTAGTCACTCACCCTTCCTAGCCCCACATCCCATGAGATCCTGGCTCATGTGTGCAGCCAACTGGCTGTCCAAGTCCATGCCATGCAAGTCCAGTTGACAATGACACTCCCACCCAGCAGACTCTCAGTAGAAAGATCTCTCCACCCAGGTTCCCAGGAACAGGTCCCATGGTTGGAGGTTTTCATGCCCTTGTGCACTATGCCCTCACTGGGAGAAACAGCTACTTAACTTGAAGCTGATCTCCTAAGCAGCTTGTCAGAAAATTAAGGTGATAGGGTCATCCTGACAAAGTGTTAACCAATGTCTGAAATGAAAGTAGAAATGAGGAAGTAGAATAATGTCACATTTTCCAGTTGGGGGAAAAAAAAAACAAAACAAGAATCAGACTGAGTTCAGTTCAGGTCAGTAGCTCAGTCATGTCTGAGTCTTCACGACCCCATTCGCGGCAACACTCCAGGCCTCCCTGTCCATCACCAACTCCCAAAGTTTACTCAAACTCATGATCATTGAGTCGGTGATGCATCCAACCATCTCATCCTCTGTCGTCCCATTCTTCTCTCACCTTCAATCTTTCCCAGCATCAGGATCTTTTCAAATGAGTCACCTCTTCACATCAGGTGGCCAAAGTATTGGAGTTTCAGCTTCAACATCAGTCCTTCCAATGAACACCCAGTACTGATCTCCTTTAGGATGGACTGGTTGGGTCTCCTTGCAGCCCAAAGGACTCTCAAGAGTCTTCTCCAACACCACAGTTCAAAAGCATCAATTCTTCAGCACTCAGCTTTCTTTATAGTCCAACTCTCACATCCATACATGACCACTGGAAAAACCAAAGCCTTGACTAGACGGACCTTTATTGGCAAAGTAATGTCTCTGCTTTTTAATATGCTGTCTAGGTTGATCATAACTTTTCTTACAAGGAGTGAACGTCTTTTAATTTCATGGCTGCAATCACCATCTGCAGTGATTTTGGAGCCCCCAAAAATAAAGTCTGCCGCTGTTTCCACTGTTTCTCTATCTATTTGCCATGACGTGATGGGACCAGATGCCATGATCTTTGTTTTCTGAATACTGAGCTTTAAGCCAACTTTTTCACTGTCCTTTTTCACTTTCATCAAGAGGCTCTTTAGTTCTTCTTCACTTTGTGCCATAAGGGTGGTGTCATCTGCATATCTGAGGTATTTCTCCCAGCAATCTTGATTCTAGTTTATCACAATGGTCAAGGTGAGAAAAGACGACTCACCTAAAACTTCTTGGAGAGAAAGATGGCATCTCATCCTTTCCACCCAGGCCCCTCCACCTTACCCAGCTCACCTCATCTCTCCCCTCCCCTACGCAACCTTTCCCATTCCACAACCCCCACCTAGCCACCCTTCTTCATCTCATCTATCCTATCACCTCTCAATCACCCCCTTTCCGCCCCACCTCTCCCCATTCTAACCTACCCTACTCACTTTGGGCTAGTTAAGGTGGCAAGGCTCTCATCCTTTCTACAAACTATTCATCTAAAAGGTTTTTTTTTTTTAAACCCTTGTATTATATTTACTTCTATAATTTAGTGAAATTCAATGAAAAGTTGCTGAAGCACAGGATGAATAAAGGAAGTAAGAAGGGAAGCAGCACAGTCTTTGAAGAGCACACTCTGACCAACAGCTGACCCTTTTCCTTACATGTATTTGCCCCTTTCATCCCAACCAGACTGCAGGTGCCCCATTTTCTCCATGGCCTGCTCAAGGCCACCACGTCACTGTGGTCGGGAAAGGAGTTTTTAGTTAACGAGGAATTTCCATCTGCCAATGGTGCCCCCTGCCCAGTGTATGTCTGGAGTTTGCCAGCATTTGTGGCTTCCCTAAGGATGCAACCCTCTTGTTCAAGTAGCAGTGGGTGACTCCTGACTCTAGATTCAGACTTGCTCTGGTTCCAGTCTCAACTTCACCACTTCCTGGCACTGTGATCTTTGACAGTTTTTATAAACATTCTGATCCGCAATTTCCTCATCTCCAAAATGCACACAGTCCACATCCCGGGGATCCTGAGAAAAGATTTCACATGCTCTCATCACTATCTGAAATTATTATGCCAAACATCGTGAAACTGCTGACATTTGACTATTTTCAACTAAGCAAACTATAAGTTCATCCTTCTTTTGATATCTCCATGTGCTTATTCTCTCTCCCTGCAGTAGAAGTTTAGCTTTTATTTAGTGTCCTGTTCCGAATATCTAAACAGTGACTGAACACGACATGTGATCAATAAAAATTTGTTGAATGAATGAATGAAAAGTTTAGAGCAATATAGCAAGTATTCAATAATAGTGTTGGTATTATTATTATCAGAAACAGCAGCAATCAGCAAAGTAAGAAGATAGAACAAAATACCAGATAATATTGGTGTAAGTGAAAATCAGTGCTACATTACCAAAAATTTCACCCTTTTCAGTAACTTTAGTTTGTTGCATCAAACCAGTGTTTCTTTTCAGCTAGAAAACCTGCTCTGAATGGAACTGATTGATACTGATAATTAGAATAATGTCAATCAATAGTTGATATTATCATATACTGAAATTTGGAAAGAGTGAGTGAACTGCAAAATTAAATCCATGATAAAGACCCTATCCAGATTTGCTGAACACCAACTATGTATAACCTGGCAAACCAGATGCAGCCCCTGCACTTTTTAGGTCTAAGACTCTAAACAAGCCTGCTTGTAGGGATTCCACCCCTATTCCACAGGTGAGGAGCCAACCCTGAGACGTAATGAGAACCTAGGATGCTCCTCTCTGTTGAGAGGTAATTATGAGCTGGTAGCTATGGATCCCTTTACTCGCCTGCTAGGTTAAGAACCCCACCTGTAAATAAGACTCTGCTGCTTGGGTCAGGAGACTGCTGTCGAAAGATCAGGCCAGGACGGCTGCTCAGAGAGCCCCAAGAGAAAATTTTGATTTGGAAAGGATTCAGAGAGACAAGCCTGGAGACCAAGTGATGCTGTGAACCTTCAGCTACAGCTGTCATTTTGCAGCCCCCGGTCCAGTCTGGGCTCCATGGACATCCCCATAAACATGGCTATGCTCCCTCCAGGGCCAGAGTCTGGCGCCTCGGCTCTGATAGGGGCTTCGTCAGCACCAGCAGGCAGCCCATTCCCGCCCTCTGATCCCTGCAGCACCCTCCCCAATAGGCCCCTCACACTAAGTCTGAGGGTCCACAAGGGGACAGATGAAGGCACATGTGTGGGTCTGGTCAATGGAATGGCCCTGAGACTTTACCTGTACATAGTGTGTGCCCGATGTTGTAACCTCTCATTTATTCTTCACAAAGGGAGTGAATGCATCCACTTACATCAGCAAGCAGAGACGGAACACCAAACCGCGGCCTATCAGAAAGCAGACGCCTATGTCCCTCAGCCCCAGAACTCTCTTTCTGCCCTAGAGGCAGTCGGGCTTGGGCCCAGGCCTCAGATAGATGCAGCGTGTGCCTGTGTTCCTTCACTGCATCCGACTCAGGCCCCACCCTCTGGCGGGTATTACATTACTGCCCAGAAGCAGGCAGGTAGAAACCTTGGGGGGCCCAAGTGGAAGCAGGTGCCTCAATGTCATGCCTTCTTCTGGTCTGCCATGTAGTCAGGGAAATTCACCCCGGTGTTAAACGCTTCCTCCCCCAGGAAGTCCTCCCAGATTCGTCCAAGCCTCCTCCGTATTCCTGTGGTAATTTTTATACGCTTGCTGTCACCTGACCCACTGCCTCGTGACTCTGGCCCTCTTTCCCTAGCCGTGGCTTTTTGGGCACCTGTGATGCACACACCCCCATCTATCACATTCTCGCACGCAAATAGTGACGAATGAGGCGCAAAGCCCAAAGCTTACCGGTTGGTGGTAAGCCCTGAGTAAGGACGTAGAAGAAAAGCGGAAGGACTCAGCCCGCTGCACCCAAAGCCCGGATGCGTTTGCACGCAGGCAAGCTGGTGTTTTGAAAAAGAATTCTAAACTGAGAAAACACTAACTCCCTCCCTGCCAGGCCTCGCCCCTCTGGGGGTGGAAGTCTTCGAAAGGCTCAGCCTGAGAAACGTGTTCAGAACAAATAAATTTAGAGTGAGCCGTAAGGCTGAAATCATAAGTTAGCCATCCTGTGCCTGCAGGATGTATACAGGGATGGGCCGGCATGCTGTTCACACCCACTGCTCCCCTTTCTAATTCTGAGAGTCAGCCAGCCTCGGGAAAGATTTTTACAGATTTCTTCCTTTTCCTGGCATGTTGAACTTAAATCGACATTTGACGTGTTTCTTTTGTAGTGAAAAAGGAATTCTCCGATATCATAGGGGAGGAGTCTAATTGGCGAGATAAGATCCTGGAGCCTGAGGGCACCTGAGTGAAAGTCAGCCTTGTTTTTCATGTCACCTGCCATGTATCAAGCGCACAACTTAACACCTTTGATACAATGGGTTTGCAGATAAATAAGAGTGAAAGTCACTCAGTCTTGTCCCACTCTTTACAACCTCATGGACTGTAGCCTGCCAGGCTCCTCAGTCCATGGAATTCTCCAGGCCAGAATACTGGAGTGGGTAGCCCATTCCCTCCTCCAGGGACTTCCCAACCCAGTGATTGAACCCAGGTCTCCCACACTGCAGGCAGATTCTTTACCATCTGAGCCACCAGGGAAGCCCAGGAAAACTGGAGTGGGTAGCCTAGCCCTTCTCCAGGGATCTTCCCCACCCAGGAATCCCACCAGGGTCTCCTGCATTGCAGGCGGATTCTTTACCAGCTGAGCCACCAGGGAAGCCAGGGCCCTTCCAAATTCATCCTCTGGATCTGCAAGGTGAGGAAGCTGCAGAACCAAAGTCCTGCCCGTTTCCTGAAGCATGTGGGATCCATGCCACGGTCCAACAGGAAGGGATCACCTCAAAGCTGAACAGAAGCTGTTCAGATCGCCTCGGTGCCTGGGTGCTTCCAGCTTCCTCCTGGTCAGGATGGTGTGATCAGACCCCAGGTCATCCCCAGACCGTGTGCAGTTCTCCCAGAGCCAGAGTTGCCCAGCGCCTTACCTGCCTTTCTTCCTCTGCGTCCATCTCCTCTCCCCACAGCTCCTCACAGGCCGAACGCCACCCTGAGGACGGCAAATCTTCTACAAACAACACAAATAGCTCATTAGTAAATATGACCTTTCCCCAAACCTCAGCCTGCGCACTGATCCACTCCCCCGTGAGCTGGTGATGAAATGGCCACGTGACACAGAAGTTTGACGTGGGATGGCAAAGGGCTGTGGTGGACGTTGTGGGGGTGGGGGAGGCCAGGGTGCCTAGCCCCGCAGCCTGGTCGGTCCCTCTCTCGTGGGAAGTCCAACGAGGGCACGCGGTGGCCGGAGGCCTTCATGCACACGAGGAGAGATGCCACAGCTGGGATGGATGCACACAGATGAGGACGCTGGGGGAGTCCATGGAGCTGCAGGATTGTGTGGTGAAGGTTTTACCTTGGCCTTTTTCTTTTTTTGAGAGCCTTGAGAGAATGTTGGAAGCCAGAAGTGACTGGACCAGCGAGCGCTACCAAGGCTGCCAGGTCGACTCAGGGAAGAGAGGGTGGATGGAGAGAAAAAGCCAGACTGAGGCCATCCAGTGAGCCCTCTTTCAGGCTGAGGATGGATCCCTCCACGCACCTAACTGGCAAGAGACCCCCACAAGCCAGGCCGCCGTTCTCACAGTATCAGGAGCATCCACGATCGATCTTTTAACACCTTGTCTGCAGGTTCCCTTCTCCCTCTGGCCACCAGGGTGTGCTGGTTATTTTGTTCAAAATCATGGCCCTGTAGCCATCACAGTGCCCAGCACTGTCAGACCAGTTCCACACAGTCACACATCTGCCATCTAACCAAACTCCCTGAGGGAAACATCGGACATAAAAGATCCCAACGTCACAACGTTCAGTCTGACTCACCAGCTCATGGCTGAGCCTGTGACCATTACACTCTGCCCCCTCAGGCTGTAGTAATGTGAGAAAGCTGTGGCCAGGTGACTCTGAACTTCAACTCATGCTAGCATCCGTGATAAAAGTCTTCAGAGACCCCCATCGATAGTTTGAATCAGGACAAAAGGAGCGACTTCCTTTGTGGTCCAGTAGCTAAGAATCTGTGTTCCCAATGCAGGGGGACTGGGTTCGATCCCTGGTCAGGGAACTAGATCCCACCCACATGCCACGACTAAGTTGGTGGTTGGTATACCACAACTATAACCTGGTGCAGCCAAATACATAAAATAAATATTTTTTTAAAAGAACAAAAGGAAATGCCTTCCTCAAAGAAGGATGTTGTCCTTAACACAAATTTTGAGTTTGGTTTCAAACCAAAAAGATTTCATACATGTTCCTGGGGAATTTTCAAAACGCCTGGACTCTGAAGCAGAACCCTCCAGCGTGTGGATGTTAAGTGGAGTGCTAGGGAGCAATCTCGTCCATGGGCTGTGCTGGTCAAGGTCTGGACTAAACCTGCATCTTCAGGCCCCACTGAAACTATGACAGCTTTAAAATAAGGGAAAGTGGCCAGTTAGCTCAGTTGGTTAGAGCATGGTGCTAATAAAATAAGGGAGAGGAAAAACCTAACTAGATTCAATTGTTTTCTCTCTAGAGTTTGAAAAAAGCAAGTGTGGTGTTGTCCTCTGCTCAACATTTTGTAGATTTACAGGAACTCACCCAGAAAGTGGAGCAAAGCCATGCAGAGTTCATGTGTCTATGCGAGGCTGAGTGGAAAGCAAACTTGATGGTTACTGGATGAATCCAAGCACTGCAGGAGGTCAGCTGGGGTCATTTAGAACCAAAAATACACGTCAAGACCATCACACTTACTGTTGGAGAAGGACCAGCTTGCTGAGTCCTCTGGGTCTAACTGCATATATATTTATAGCCTTCCATGCCCTAAAAACAGCTTAAGGTGATAGTCAATAATAAATCAAATTTAACATGGCAAATCAAATTAGCAGATGGGAAGGGGAAAGAAAGTAAGGCCTGGCTTTTCCTGTGACCATGGCACACGGGCACTTCCTGTCACCCTGCGGGGTCGCCTGACAGGCTGCTCGCTGAGTCAGACCAAAAGCACCCTGGCCACCCCACCCCATCTAACGAGGCACACGGTGTGGTCCCCAGGGGCAGAGTGGCCGGTTGCCACAGCAGTGGCCCTCAGCGTCCTGCCACAGTCTCCTCATGTGAAGACCCAGTGGCTTAACGCAGATGAAAGCGTAGCTCTCTGACTGACTTCCAGCTGGGGAGCTGGGTCCTCCCTGCTTCAGGCCCCCGCCTTCACCAGGGGGACACCAAGCCGAAACCCTCCCCCACGGCCCTCCGGGGCTGCACAGAACTGTGGAATCCATGCAGGGAGGAAGGTGGCTCCCCACACGGGTGTCAGGCTTCACAGACCATGAGGCGGCGCTGGCGATGGGGGAAGCAACAGAGAGCGGCTTCCTCAAGCTCTTGAGTGGCCCAGCTTCGGCCGTGGGGCTGCTGTGTGGCCTTAATAGTGCTGAGTCATAAGGGTGTGGGGAGGCGTGCTGACAGGGGTCACATTGTGGGGTCGGAACTCAAGGGAGTCACCCTCTTCAAGGCCATGCAGGTGCAGGAAACAGGGGCCCATTGGGAAGCTAGTTCTCAGTTTGGTTCAGTTCAGTCGCTCAGTAGTGTCCGACTCTTGGACACCCCATGGCCTGCAGCACAACATGCTTCCCTGTCCATCACCAGCTAGTTCTTCTGCAAAAGTTTTTTCTTCATCTGTCAAGCGTCTCTGTCCCCTGAGCAGACTTTCATAAATACAGTAAGTCCCCACATATGATCCTTCAAGTTGTGTGCATGTGTGCGCGCTCAGTCGCTTCAGTCATGTCCAACTCTGTGTGACCCTATGGACTGGAGCCCTCCAGGCTCCTCTGTCCATGGGATTCTCCAAGCAAGAATACTGGAGCGGGTTGCCATGCCCTTCTCCAGGGGGTCTTCCCAACCCAGGGTCTCCTGCATCTCCTGCATTGCAGGCAGACTCTCTACTGCTGAGCCATCAGGAAAGCCCAAACCTTCAAGTTGCAAACTTGCTAAGATGTGAACACAGTTCACATGTCCAAATCACATACATTAGTTCACACCCGTGGCATACACTGTCACATGGGTGCATCCTCTACCAGCGGCTGTGCTTTTGTGTACTTCACGACAGTATTGTCTAGAGTATAGAGGTACAGTATTTGTATTTCAAGTTCAGGATGCCTGGACGCAAGCATTACAGCAGCAGTGATGTAGCGGGTACTACTGTACTTTTCAAGGTACTGTACTGTAAGATTAAAAAGGTTTTATGTATTTTTGTTTACTTTTTTATATATTATTTGTGTGAAAAGTACTTTAAATCTTTTACAGTATAGTACTATATAGCTGGGCTTCCTAGATGGCTCAGTGGTAAAGAATCTGCCTGCCAATACAGGAGACACAGGTTCAATCCCTGGGCCAGGAAGATCCCCTGGAGAAGGAAATGGCAATGCACTACCGTCTTCTTGCCTGGAGATTCCCATGGACAGAGGAGCCTGGTGGGCTACAATCCATAAGGTTGCAAGAGTTGGACATGACTTAGGGATAACAACAACAATAGAGCTTAACTAGAATATTAGGTTTCCCTACAACCTTTCAAGAATGCCTTTAGTATATAAAGCACACCAAGCTGGTAGAATTCAATCATAGGTGTGTTTAACACTCAGCTGCCACACAGGCTTTAAACTGTGCCACATCCACAGGACACCATTGAGCATTCTCGTCCTGGGTGTGAAGGCTTCTTTCTGATGTTGATTTGTCAAACCGTTTCCTACAAGTGCTGTCTGGCTCTTAACTAAATATGAAACAGGTCACATGATAAAAATGAGGCAAAAGATAAAAAGCATCACAGAGAAAAGCAAACATAGTTTTCAAAAAGTCTAATACATCCAAAAGAATGTATACATATATATATATATATATATATGTATACAGTATAGCAGAAATTAACATGATATCATAAATCAACTATATTTCCACTAAAATAAAGATATTGATTTTTTAAATTTAATAAACCCAAGGCAATTCTGATATAATCAGAGTACAAACACCAAGTTTCCTGAGTCAAGGAATGGCACTTCACTTGGCCCATTACACTGCTGCCCGTCTGCTAGAATCTAAATGGAATGGAATTGGATGTCTGCTCCACAGCTTTTTTCTACCACTACTATTATTTTATCTGCCCATTTGGCACCCAAAGAGCGCCCAGACCTTGATCCAAAGGCACACTGGGATTGCTACTGGCCCCCCCTGCCCACCTCCATTCCTGAAAAGCAGGACTTGGCTATTTGCATGTGCATCTTTCTCCCCCAAAACAGGAGGTCTGGCAAAGCAGGACAGCTCAAGTTGACCAGTGCACATGTGCAGAGCCATGGTATAGACTCAGTAAAGACATCAGAAAAATTAAAATGACATAAAATTATCTCGGAAGTTCTAGGCCCTGTAAAGAAAATTCAGTAGAAATGGTTGACAATTCTCTTTAAAAAATGACAGCACCACACTCAACATTGTAAATCAAATATACTTCAGCTTTTTGAAGTTGAAAAAACAAAACAGCCGCCACCCCTCATGAGAAGGTGACCAGGGTCAGGGGTTCCAGTGTCCCTAGGTCCGTCGTTAAGCATTCTGCCCACACCCCACACACAGCACTGCCTTCTCACAGCTGGGATGAATGAGTGATTGACTAAACATTCAAACTTTTATTCTAACTGCTCTCACTTCAAATACCATTCTTTTGCCTTGGCAATATCCGTAAACCATTTTCTACAAATATGTGGAGATGGATTCTCCCCTTAGTATAGACTATTACCGTGTTCACAATAAGTGTGTCTTGAGTTGCTTGGGAGAGAAGGAGAACATCAACTTTTTTTGAACATGAATTTCTTCAGTGAGCAAGAAGAGGTTTCATTGTGATGCTTAAAACGTAGAACTGAGGTATGTAAATTACTGAGCAGATAATTACCACAAATAATTGCTTTCTAAAGCTCAATCTTTAGTTTTTGGCTTGCTAATGCAAAGATATCCAATAGACAAATTTGAATGAGATAAAACTGAGGCATTTTCTGAGGTCACTGTTTAAATTAAACAATGCCACTATTGCCAAAGCTCATCGCTTTCTGAAATATAGCTATTTCACAGACCTAGTCTTAGCTTTCTGGTTCTCTTCTTCAAGATGACTTGAAATTGGCATTTTTCTAAAGGTACAAGCTCTACTAGGCTATGAATTTTATAAAAACATGCTTAAAAACAGAATTGGCCCTCAAGAAGTTTAAAATCTGGTTTAAAATATATAAACCTTCTCAAAATCACTGATATGTTAAAAGAGTCAGTCTGCTTTCTAAATGATTACTCCCATTAACATTTCTACTTCCAACTCCGTGCAATTTTATTCTCTGTGTATACCACTGGAAATTCTCTCTTGACATCTTGATGTTTTTTTAAAAAAATAAATAACAGAGATTTTAAAATATCAGTCTGGTCTGAGAGTTTCATTTATTAAAGAAACAAACATAAACACTCCATTTGTCTGCAACTTAATTATAAAAAGAGTTTGGAAATGAGGCGTGTTCTTCAGGAGGCCTGTGTCAAGACATACATGTCACAAACATAGATGAACACTCGGAAGACTTGAGACAGTGGGTCCTGACTCCCTGTCACTGGTCACCAGCACTCAAGGGGCAGACTTTCCCTCTGGAAATTTCTAGTGGTTTACCTCAGAATTATCATTCCTTTCTCAAGTAAAATCACAGGAGTCCATTTTCAAAAGGGCTTACCTGGTAATTTGTGTCCTTGTACTGAAGTCAAGTGACCTCATTGAGCGAAGAACTTCAATGCACCCCAGATACTGCAAGGAGAGAAAACGTAAGTCATGAGTCAGAGAACTGAGATGAATAGGTGATTCCTAACTAAAACAAAGTCATTTGGGGAGCCATACACATTTTTTCAACCACATTATAACTTCTTATTCATGGTGACACTTCATTCTGTTTCTATAGAAGTAATAACTCTCACCCATCAGAAAACAACCTGAGTGCTTACATTTGGCACTATACTTAACTTTCATGAAACCCATTAGCATATTCACTTTCTTTAGCAATACATCTTCAGAAACTTTTGTTGAGGTATAACTTGTATGTCATAAAATGCAGAAATCTTAAATGTACAACTCAATGATCACTTAAACATGCACCTGTCATGTAACCACCACCCAACAACCCAATATCCCATTTCTAGTCCTCTACTAAATTTCCAGAAGTTTACAATATTTAAAGAAAGAATGAAAACACTATAATACCAACATTTTGACCAACCTCACACTTCATTATTTAGTAAATACATTTGGGTTTTGAATAAACTATAGATTACCCACAAAGGTGTTTTATTTTGGTTTACCAAAGAGACCTCTTCTGAATTATTTAACATAAATTTTCAGAATTTCAACTTAACATCTAAATTTGTAGCTAACTTTGTTTATCAGTTTTATACATGAGAATGTATGTGTGTATGTGACTATATGGCCACAGTTAAAGCTACAGACAAACAACTAGAATGGAAGAGATAGAATATTCGTGTTCCAAAGCCCTTGGGGGAGTTTGAAGCTACAGATGTTTTATACTAATGACTTTAAATTTAGACATAGCAGGAAGGGACCTCATGGTGTAGTACAGAAAAGACTGCATTTAAATTATACAGAAAACCTGAATTTGAGCCTGGCTCTGTCATATCTTCTTACATAACCTCAAGCAAAACTTTAAACCTCTCTCAAATGTGACTGTTACTCCAACCACTGCACAGTCAGAGTTATTTAAATACCACCACCTCCATCAGTGAAGTGGGTACCATGAACAGTCACAGAGACATAGGAATAAGATGACCACCAACCTTGCAGAGTCATGTGATTAAAGGGGCAATATCACAGAATCACATGAATACCAAGACCAGCATCACAGGGTTATATAACTACCACCACCACCATCAAAGTGGAAGACTTAGGCAAATACCACATCCATCACCACAAACGTACATGAGTACCATGACAAACACTGCAGAGTTGTGTATACTACGAGGTCACAAGTCACAGGAAAATAAATAACAACAGTGCATGATTATATGACTACCACTATCACAATTATAGATTTGTGTGGATGCCATCATCACCACAGCAAGAT